ACATGGCAGGTATGTCGGCAGCTGACGGGCACTATGGAAGAGTGGAGCAGGGTAAAGGAGGCTGGCAGCACAGTGATGAGGGCAGGGTTCAGCTCTTAATCAGGGAAGGCCTCATTCAGGAGGTGACATGTGAAGAAAGATTTGAAAAGAGGCGAGGGAGGGAGTTACGCAAACAGCTGGAGTCTCATAACCAGGGGGAACAGCCAGTGCAGAGGCTTCCAAGTGGGTTCCAGGGGCAGGGAGGCCGAGGCAGAATTAGCAAGGAGGGAGCGAGTCAGAGGCAAGCTGGCCAGGCATTCAATAATGAGTGCGGGGTTCCGCAGACTACTGCTCGGTCTTCGGCTTTTATCCCAAGTGCAGTGGGCAGTCATGGGGGGGTTTGAGCACAGAAATGCCAGAATTCCTCCAGCTGCTGTGTGGAAATGGGACTATGGAGGTGGGGGGCAGAGAGTTGCTTGTCCAGGTGAGGGACAGCAGTGGCTGAGGGGATGCTGAGGTGTAGGGTCTGAGGCACAGTTTTGAAGGTAGAGCCAACTGGAGCTCCAGACAGAATGGGCAGAGGTTGTGAGAATGAGGGGTGCGAGGATGGCTCTTGGGTTTTGGCCTGAGTGAGGGAAGTGGGGTTGCTACTAATTAGGGTGCCCTAGGTTCGGAGTTGGGGAAGGATCAGGAATTTATCTTGGACATGTTACATCTGGATGTAGCAGCAATATAAATTTTGCTTGCAGAATGTTTCGAGGAAAGAGGGTGGGTAGGGAATACACAAAATGGGGTCACTTTAACCAAGCTCCTAAAATTACTGACATTATTGTAACTGAACAACTAGTGGGGTCCCATCACCTGCCGCCCATAAGCAATAACTCTGGAGACAGAGTCCGGTGGGAAGGAAGATGGAATGTTTTATTTACTTAAAAATACACACAGCAGATTTCTTGATGTCCCAACCCCCACCCCAGAGGAACAGGCGCAGGGCTGGCGGGTGGCCACTGAAGCACAAGGAAGAAGCATGGGGTTTGTCACGTGGCCACCCCACCCTCCCCACCTCCCAGGCCCCGGGCCCAGCCTACAGCCTCCAAGGCTTCCCACATGGGGATGGGGTGCCGGGTTTGCTGCCGAGCCTCCCCACGGCTCCTAATTGAAACCTCCTGCACTCCTCCACAGGCAGGTCCTGGGGTGCTATGGCAGGAGAGCCAGGAACCCCTCTGGCCAACCCCCAGCTCAGTAGCCTCTGCCCCCAGAGGTGCATCTACAGCCAGGGCATGGGGGAGCAAAAACGGTATTTGTGCACACTCTGCTTTTTAAATAAATACTCTCCCATAACTCCCTGCTGGGTGGTAGCAGATGGGAGGGTATGTCCCTTCCATCTAATCACCTTCCTAGGTTTTGGCATCAGCCTTGCGCATCCCTTCTGCTTTGTCCTGCACGCGTCCTCTGGGTTGCCAGGGAGACACACACATCTTCTCCACTTCTCCACCCCTCCCCATGGGCCGAGGAGGTAGTTCCCCCATTACACTGTGAAGACTGGAGCATGAGGAAAGACTCTATTCTTGTTCTAGGTAAGTAGCCTGGGAACTTAAACTTCTTGAACTTTCCAGTCTTGTGTCACTGCCTGGGCACACATCTGGCCACACACCAGAGCTCCAGAGAGCCCTCCGATGACCCTGAGAGACTCGCATGTGCAGGCCGCCTGACATCCTCCTGCCAGCTGCTAGACGTCTGGCACTCACCACCCAGACCACCTGACACCTGACTGACAGCCACCCTGGGCCAGTCCTAGGGCTGAGAATGCAGAGCTGCGTATTCTCAAGAATGCACTTTTTAGTGTAAAAGCTCTCAACTTTTCTTTCTTCAGAACACGTCTGGGTTTTTGCCTGGGTTCCTAGTGTGAAAGCTCTAAGACCCTTGAATAAATCTGTCCTTTATTTCTGGTCAAAGCCTCCAGGTCCCTCTGAGTTTGTTCAACAGTTTCTAACGATGACATCTTCCAAATAAAAAAGTCATTTCAAGACTCCTGACCCAGCAACTGTTGCATTCCTAGCACTGAAAATATGCAAGTCAGTCACTGCTGGTGATCGGGGGAAACCACAGGCACAGAAGACGGGCCAGAACACGCTGGAGCCTGGGCCCCAGTTTTCAGGGGACGAGGGAAGGGAGGGAGAGGCTGCAAACATGTCCACACTCCTGGCAAGATCCCACAAGTCATTAAATGGATGACACATGAACCCCGGAAATTAGTAGCAGCTCCTTTAGGACCCAGCTTGAGGTCAAGAGCAAGTGAGGCCAGTACACCGGGCGGGCAACGGTAGGTTTACAGTTGTTCATGTGGAAAATAATACCATAGTAAATAAAATGAGAATAAACTCAGGTACTCACAACCACAAACCCACTGCTGTCCCACCCGGTAAGTACTGCAAAAGCCTCGTCTCTCCACCCGCGTGTCTCCTTTACCACTCATACAGAATACTTCACTCTAACACCAGCTCACTGTCTTTCAATTTAACTCAATTCTGACCCCATCTACTTGGAAACATCTACCGTCAAATCCCTCAGGGTAAGAGCTCAGTTCCATGAGACTCCACCCACCCCCCAACTTTAGCTGCCAATCCCAAGTAGTAGTTCTCCAGGTTATTCATAACTTCTGTACAATCTGAATACAAATCAAAGGTTCCCATGACCCCCCACCCCATTGAATCTGATGATTTACTAGAACAGCTCACAGAACAGTTACACTTCCAGTGTATCATGATGAACGACCTGATGAACAACCCAGTGAACAGACACAGGTCGAGGTCTGGGAGAGTCCTGAGCACTGTGACATCCTTCCTGGTGAGCTGGGTTGCATCACCCTCCAGTACGTTGACATGTTCACGCAAACTTGGTAGATCTCCAAAGCTCATGCAATTGGGATTTTAATGGAAGTTTGATCATTGACCCCATTTTCTGTCCTTCTCCTTTCTCAAGAGAATAGAGAGAGGAGAAAGGGTTGGGGGGAGCTGAAAAATATTGGGTTGGTCAAAAAGCTTGTTTGGTTTTTCCCGTAAGATGGCTCTAGTAGCACTTTGTTGTCTTCAAATTCATTTGAAACAATTTTGTTAGATTGTATTGTGGTAGCTGTCATATCAATGTGCCTTTAAAAAAACTCACCAAAACCAGTGAACTGACCAAAACTCACCAAAGGTGAATATTTGTGTGGCAACATTTTTGGCATATAACACTCATTATTTCAAGAAAGGTAAAAACAACTGAAACAACACACACAAAAAAGATTTGTTCAGTGTATGGAGAAGGTGCTATGCCTGATTGAACATGTCAAAGTGGTTTGCGAAGTCCTGTGCTGCCGACTCCTCGCTGGATGATGCTCTACGGTTGGGTAGACCAGTTGAAGTTGACAGTGATCAAATCGAGACATTAACAGAGAACAATCAACGTTCTGCCAGGAGGGAGATGGCCAACATATTCCAAGCACCCAAATCAATGAGGCTATTGGGGAAGATGAAAAATGTGATTTTTATTTTACAGAAGAAACTAAAAGGACTTTTTGGCCACCCCAGTGCCACTTGTGAGGATGGCCCGGTCTTTCCGGTGACAGCCCTGACCCAGAAGCCATCCAGGAGCCCACCCCATAGCCTAATCACAAGAAGATGCTTCTGTCACACAGAAGCTGCAAGGGTGTAAGGAGCACTGTATCAGGAACGGCAGTGAGACCGAGTATTGGAACATAAGATGCTCCTGTGCTCTTATCACTTAGGAAATTCCAAGGGTTTTAGGAGCCTTGTGCCAGAAACGGGAAGGGTGGGTGAGACCAAATATGTATTTCTTAAAATTAATCACATCACAAAAAATATGCGAGGAGAGTGAGGTCTAGGTTCCAGGTTTCAAAAAGGGGTAAAAAACAAAACCCCAAACAGAACCTGCAAATCCACTCATAATCTGTGATTCTAGAACATGCCATTTAATAGATGACATATGAACTCCAAAAACTAGCAGAAACTCGCTTTGCATTCAGCTTGAAGTCAAAGGCCAGTCAGCCCCATATATTTAGAAAAAAACAACCAGGACGATTTCAGAACTTGTAACTCCAACTTCGCAAGGAGAGCAAAGGTTTCTTCAGAGCAGACAGTGTCAGGTGGCATGGATAGCGGCACTACTGGCCAGCCCCGACAGGAGCCTCGCGTCCTGCCTCTGGGGTTTTCCGGGCAGGGATCTGCGGGCAACCCTGCCTGCGGCTGCGGGGATGGTAACCACTCTCCCCAGCGGCGGGGGAGAGGGGCACTTGCTCTGAGCACTCTCACACTTCGCTTTCTCTTTCACACGCGAGGAAGATCCTGCCACAGCGAGCGGTGCAGCGAGAAAGTACGCGAGGAACAAAAGAAAACGACCTTCCTCTGGCTCTGCTACAGAGGTCTCAACACACGAACGGTAAACACAGATCTTAATACTTTCTGAATTGCTTTCCGCCGGGAGGCCGCCCTGAGGGAGAAGCAGGCGACCAGGGTCTTCTCCCGCAGCCGGGTCAAACCCGCGTTGCTAGGCGACCTCAGGTCCGTGGGAAATGGACTTAAACTGCCCCGCCCAGACCCCGCCCCCACCCCGCTGCGGTCCCGCGGGGCCAGATCATCTTACGCACGCGACGGGCCGAAGCGTCGTGACGCACGCGCGGTTGGACGTCCTGCGCGCTCCCGCTCTCATCCACACGCTACCCCGCCCCTTCTTGCGCGGCCTGAGCTGTCTCCCCAGCTCATTTCTCCCCCAGACCCGGCCCTCCCGCACCCCGTCTCAAGGCCGGTGGACACAGACTGTAGAACATCAAAGCCCGCCAGGCCCACGTCCCACGCTCCCATGCGGGCGGTGGTGATGGGCTGGGCTTGTGGGGTAGAAGAATAAGGCGGGATGAGGGGAGGTGGCAGTCCCACGGGCTCACTTCCGGGGGACGGGCGGAAGTGGCTGCGGTGGATGGGGGTGGGCTGGAGCTCGAGGGGAGGGCCGGGCCGCCGGGGGTCGGGGGGGTGGGGCCTGGGCCGGCGGTGGAGACCCGGAGTGGGGCCCTGACTACGACCCTGGGCTGGCCGCGGCACCCTGCCGAGCCGGGGCGGGCGGGATCCAGGTAACGACCCTTCGCAGATAGGGCGAGGGTCGTCTGGGCGGTGGGGGGGTAAGAGACTAGGGAGGGTCGCTGTCACTCCCCGGTGAACCGAGAGCGAGGAGATTCCGAGAAGAGGTGGGAGGAGTTAAATTTTTGGCGGGGGGGGGGGTGTAATGTGGACGCCACGCCCCTATAGGGAGGAACTGGGGGGGCGCGCGTAGAAAGAGAGAGTGTGTGTGTGTTTACGAATAAACTTAGAAGGGAGGGGCGACAGGTTGAGATCTTGGACTGGGGAAGTGGAACACAGTGGGGTTACTGCAGGCTGGACTGGGGCCTCAGACATTCCAGGAGAGCGCTCTTGGGAGTGGCCCCGGGGAGGAGTTTGACAGTGATTAGGAATTACATCCCTGCCATGGTTTTGGAAGCTGGGGGTGGGTTGGGGGGGAGGTAAGGGTTAAGAGAAGAGAGCAAAGAATGCATGCAGAAGGTGCCAACATCTAGGTCTGGGGTAGATTTGGTTCAGTCCGGGAGAGCTAGCAGATTAGAACACTGGACACTTTAAGAAGCTTGGGAGATGTAGGGCAGTTAGTGTGTGGCACTTAACAAGAGACAGGACAGGATGGGGATGTTCTTTTCCCGTTTCTTAGAAGACAGCCTCCACACACCGTTGGTGCCTTTGGTTTCTGTTCTGCTGTGAGAGTAAGTGCAGTCCTTTATCCTGAGCCGTGTGTATGCATATGGATGAGGTGACTGTTTTGTGGGGTGATGTGTGAGTGAAGTAGGTATTGGTGTATCTTGTGGAGTGTATAAGGAAAGAGTTCGCATGGTAGATCATTCTAAAGGGATATAGTTTAGGTAGGGAGTCTTAGGAATACATTTGGGAATATAATAGATTAGAAAGTGTCATAATGTTAACATATTCTGCAGGTTAACACAGAACTCAGCCTCCAGGGCCATGCCGGTGCTAAGGCCTGCTTCTTCTGAGCCCCAGAAGACAGAAGGGTTGGTCCTCAGAGTGGATGACTTCCCCTCCCTGAGCAAGAGGTGGGACAGTGCTTGGGATCTGCCCATCACCAGACTCTGGGCTTAATAAGCCAGCTGGATGAAGGGACATAACAGACCCCTGGGAGGGACACGGAAGCCGGCAGTGGGGGGGGAGGGGCCTGGACATACCCCTTCCCCCCCAGACTCCTCCCTCTCAAAGTACACTGAGCCATGGACTTTGGACTCGCACGAGGAGAGAAGCTGCACTTTGTCCCTGGTTTGGGATTCTCAGTTTCGGAAATGGAGTGCTGGATGGGGATCTGATGCTCTCCAGGGAAGCAGCTGAGAGAAGAAAAGAAAGGTAAGGTTCCTGTCTCATTTCCCACTTGGTGTCTGGCTGCACCTGTGCAGGAAGTGTTGAGTGGGGTGAGTCGGGTGCAGTAAGTACCTGGGTGAGAACCCTTACCCTGCTGGGTGCACAAGGAAACGTGGCCTCTCCTTCACTCTCTCTGAGTGCGGACTTGGCCCCAGCAGCTCCTCACCCAGGAAGGGGTCTGTTGTAAGGTTGTAAGCATTGGCAATTACAAGGTCAGGCCAAGGGCCACAGGAAAAGAACTCAGCCCTCTGAAGGGAGGTCGGATTAGATTGCCTGGGAGGGCCTTTCGAGCACTGAGATAACAGGATTGGGGGGGGGGTGGCAACTGAGACTCTGGCATGGACCACCCAGGCAGAGGCAGACTTCTGTTTTAGGAACTAAGTGGAACTGCCTTGAGCAGATGGGTAGGAAGTGATCTAGGTATCCTAAGTTTTCTGTCCTCCTTCTCCTAAAAGTGAGTTTAGGCCATGAAACCGCATGGAAAGAGCAGAGGGACGGAGCAGGATCAGGCATCGGTAGGACTCAGCCACAGCTCTCCCTTTCCTCGCGCACAGACCCCTGGCTGTGTTTGTCTCCGCAGGGTTCTCTTTTCCTGCACCGTGGGAGTAACTGGCTTTCCAGGCCCCTCACACGTTGTTATGAGGAGCAAAGGAAGTGATAGGTTTCGAAAATTGTCCAGGGCCGTGTGCATCTAACACAGTGGCATTGACATCTCTTGATATGCTTGTGTAATCCTTCCGCAGAGGAGAGCTCTGTCTTTTGTTGAATCAGCTGCTGGCAGAGCCTTCGATGGCCTGAATTAAATGCCTACCCGCAACCCGTCTCATCTCGTTATTAAACAAGCCTTGGGTCATCACATTGAGGAAGGGTATACAGGTCCAAGAACTTTGAGGGATTCTGGCCCTCAGGGCTTACTGTGACCGGCGTGCCTCTTCGGGAGCGGGAGGGAAGTTCGAGTCCCTAGGCCTCTAGGGCCAAGTGTCCAGTTAGGAGAAGGCGCTCCGTGTCTTGGACTGAGCACCGGGCCTTTCCTTCCTGTGCTATGTCCCAGCCTTTTCCCTTGTTCTTTAAGATGACAGTTTTTCCGACGGCCATCTCTTAGCCCTTTGTAGTTTCCAGGCTCACCCCCCCCCCCGTGCCCCACCCCCCCTGCCTAAAGGGGACCTGTTCAGAGTCACCTTCTCACCTCCACCTGTTACTTCCTGGAACTCCAGTTTGCCCAGGCCGAGATGCCTGCAGTTCTCAGCGACAGGAAGGAGAAGGTGTTGGGAGCGTTGACAGGCAGTGGGGACTGGTGGCCTGGGTGAGGGGCAGGAAGCTCTGCCTCTGGCATCTCCGCCTCCCATAGCTGTGTAAACATTTGGGCCTCACGTTCAGTGAAGGGATGGCAACAATAACTGAGGTCATTTGCAAGCTGAAAGTCCTGTATTTATGATTTAGTCTCCTTTCCCCCTTCCTTCTTTCCTTGCCATCAGAGTCCCTGACTCCCCCGCTGGTCTGAGGGTTGGGCAGGCAGGCCTGGGCTGTTCCTTCCAGGGTCTGATGTGGGGGAGCCCCTTGGAGGCCAGGCTTCTGCCCTAGAAGGTCCAGATCTCAGGGATGCCATGCCTCCTCTTCCAGCTTTGCCCAGCCAGCTCCTGGTGTCAGTCTGTGCTGAGGCACCACAAGCAGTCCCTCGGGCAGGTTTGGGCCCAGGGTGCCAACATGGCCCCTGTCCTGCCTGGGAGGCCAGGGCACCTCAAAGTGGGCGAGGCACCACGGAGCCGCACTGTATGTGTGTAGTGCTTTCAGTGTGCACAGTGTCCAGGCCGTAGTGTTGCATCTGTGCCTGTCCCCATGCTGCTGCATGGAGGAGAGGGAGGGGTTATTTCCTCAGGTGGGCGTGTCAGGGGAGCTACAGAAGCCCCAAGCAGGAAGGGTTTCCTGCGTTCCCCCTTGGTTGCCCGCCGGACGCTGTGCCAGGCCTGCCAAGGGTGAGGGAGGGGGGACCCTGCTGCAAACCCCCAGGGAGGGCCACTTGGCCCCTGTCATTTCCACAAAAAGCACTGGTGCTGCCCTCTGCCTCACCCTTCCTTGAGACACTCCTCTCAAGACGGCCATCGGCCTCCCTGCACAGGCACCTTCTCCCCGGGTGAGGATGCACAGGCCACTCAGCCAGGAACCATGTTTTTACTGAACTTACTTATGCCCTTCTTTTGTCCAAAGGGTATAATGAAAAGTCCCACTTCACACACACTCCTCAGTGGTGATCATGCTAATCTTGTCCCCTCTCTCGGGTCTCCATGAGTTGAGTCTCTGGGTCCCCGTGGGGCAGGGGGTGCTGGGAGGAGGAAATCGGGGAAGGTAGAAACAAAACTGATGTTTTAAATCATCCCAGTGATTTAAAACATCCCTTTTACTTCTTATGGTTTCAAGCTGAGATCTGTCTTAAGTTCAGAGCACGAATCAAATCCTTTCCAAACTGTAAAACAGTTCAGGTTATCATGGGCCTGGCTCAGGGAGGGCCACCTAAGGCAGCTCTCTGGTCACTTTGTGGAAAGGGTGGAGGCAGGTGGCGTGCGGTGCTGCTCCCATGTTCTCTCTTATCCTGGGCCCGAGTCACCCTGTTTCTTACACCTGCACCTGCACGTAGTTCAGTCTGAGTTCATCCCCTCCTGGTTGTCTTCTCCCCTTCTGCCCCCATAATCCACCACCCCCCCTCGCCATGAAACTTCCCGTCTGGAGCTCAGGGCCACTTTTCCCAGGACAGCTTGGCGCCAAATATTTTCTTGCTTCCATCCAAGAATTTAGCTTATCCCAATTCTCTATAAGCCCTTTCTCCTTGGGACAGTCCTCCTGCAGTTGGTAAATTTGAACGTAGGTCTTCCTGGGAGCCCTGGGATTTGAATAGGACAGTGGCAATGAGGGGCGAGTGGGCACAGACAGCCCTCCATCTGGTTCCACTGAACTGCCCTTGGGGGGCTGTTATTGGTGGAGGCGGGGGGTCTGATGTCTCATGGGCGGTTGGTCTCCCGCCTTTCAGCACCCCACTGTGTCCCTTGTCCTGGAGAGTGGCTTTTGCTCCTGATACCTTGGGTCTGTAAACCACTGTCTCCAAACTTTTAAGACACGTCATTGTTTTCCCTCTTGCCTTGGCATGGAGTGGGAGCACATAGTCCTCCCATGTCCCCTACGTGAGGAAAAGCTTGGAGAGGGCAGAGGTGCAGACACTGGCCACTGGCTGGCCCCTGAGCCTGGGCTCAGGTCTCCTACCACAGTCCACACAGCTAAGCTGGAGACCTCACACACACGCACACTCACACACACACAAAGTGCAGCCTCACTCGATGTGTCAACTCCTCTCTGCTCTGTCTGGGCTGAGCTCGGATGTCTTCTACCAAGATTCCCTGGCGCCCCACTCTGCGCCTGCCAGGCTGGACACAGACACCCAAGGGTGCGTGAGGACCCCAGCTTTGGAGGCAGGGGTGCCTGGATCTAAAACCCACCAGATGCCCCAGTAGGTCCTGAGACGTTCGGCAGTTGGCACTTACCCTGAGCCTCAAATCCGTCGTCTGCAGAACAGGATGGTGGTGCCCACTAGGCAGAGCCGCTAGGAGGGTTAACGGAGAGGGGCTGAGGGAGGGGTCTGGCGTGTGGAGGCCTCGGCGTAGTTTTGTTTTCGCACTTCGGCAGCCTCTAGGGCTTTGTGTTTCTCTAGAACCCTGCACACTTCCGGTCTCGTGTGGAGACATGCTGGCCAGGCAGTGAATAACCACGCGCGGCAAAGTTTGGGCCTGCAGTCCTGCCCCGCGGGGGAAGGAGGCGGGTGGGGGAGGGCCTGGCGCCTGCGGAGTGTGTTCTCATCACACGTTAGGTCCGGCCTTGGACTCAGCCCTTCCCAGGAGCGTCATCTACAGAGTAGCCGGTGCCTAGCGCCCCGCCCCCTCTCAGCGGCAGATGCGCACGTCCAGGCTTTTCTGGAGTCTGCCCCCCACCTCCTGTCACGGGCTACCGCGAAAGCCTGTGATCCAGTCCTTTCCTCCTCGGGTCTGGTGGTTCTGCCCTGGGGCCATGTCTGTCTCGGCTTTCACGAAGGACTGGCAGCTCTCATTCCCCACCCCCACCCCCACCCCCACCCCCAAAATGAAAGAGACCACAGCTGGCCCTCTCCCGCTTTTGGCAGCAGGTGTTTCCCCCGCTGGCTTCCTTTTTGGCGCCCTGGTTCCTGTTCTGACATCCCTGCACCAGGGCCCCTCTGTTGTGCCTGACTCCTCCCCGCCGGAAGCTAGTATTTGGGGGTAGGGGGATCGGGAGAACTGGCCCCAGACCCTTGGTCTGGAGTTTGGCGAGCGCAGTACCCAGGGCCGCCCGGCGTCCCGGCGGGGCTCTCCTCCCCGACTCCGCGAGGCTCTAGGCTCCGGGGCGGGGGAGGTCCGAGCTGGCGGGCTTCAGGGCTGGGGTCGGATATCGACCCCAGCAGCTGCTGCTGGGAGCCGGAAAAGGCTTCCTCCACAGCACCTCCCGAAGTTGGGGGCCGGGGGAAACTGGCGGTCGGGGCGAGAGGGCGGGCCCGGGAAGGAGCGGGGGGGGGGGGGGGGGGGGCGGCCCGCCCCGCCCCGCCTCCCCGGGGAAGGGCCACGTTGTCCGCCCGGCCCAGGCGCGCCTCGGGGAGGGCCGGCTAGGCGGAAGGCGCCGGCGGCCGCGTGAGCTCCAGGGACCCACCCGGCGCACCAGGTTTGCTCCCCGCGCCCGGAGGCGGGCCAAGTTCAGAGCCGGGAAGTTGGGGAGTCCCGGTGAGTAAGGGCCCGGGGAAGCCGGCGTTCGGCATCTCGGGGGCTCGGGGGACGAGGTCCGAGTAAGAGGCCCGGCGGGAGTGGTGAGGGCGCTGCCCCTCTCTGCGCCCCTCATGTCCCCGGTCAGCCCCGTGCCCGCGAGCCCCTTTCGGAGGGGCCTGGCCCGAGACACCCGGCTCCCGCCGCTGCCCTCTCCGGGGCTGGGAAGTGGCG